GCCGTTGCCATGGAAACGGGGGTACGTTTATTTTTGTCTAAAGCGGGGGTGTGTTTGTAGAGCTATCGTTCTGTACGTCTGTATATACACTGTTACTGAAAATTAATTGTTCAGACAGTTTCATATGTACAGGAAATGCGTGTTGGAACTCTAGTCTTTATTATCGATACAGAGGCCGAATCTTTAGTTTTAAGAATTATTGTCTATCTGTCTGTCTGTCCATCTGTCTGGGGATACATAGCGAGAAAGCCACTGGATAGATTTTAATGAAATTTGGTATGATGATAGCTTGTTATCCGGGTCCAACATATGTATAGGATATTTTTTACTGCGGGGAAATATCTCATCTCTGAGAAATCTATACTAACTGTTATAATATAATAATAACGTGATATTACAATATATATTTCAGAATATACAGTTTTAACAGAAAAATTGTTTGTATAAATCTTCGGTTATTACATTTTTCATATTGTATACTTTTCTAGTTTAGTATCGTTCTCTTGCATATATAGCTTAGCCATTATATGTTTAATTACCAAAGTAATATTAGGGTCTAATTATGATAATGTATAGCAACTCGAAACGGGGCATACTCTACTTACTGTTACGCTCCACGTGTACACTCAGAAACGCAAGGCGGAAGCGCCCTTGAGATCGAAAAAATCTATACCATTGCAGGGAACCGCCCTACTGTTAGAAAAACTTTATTATAAACATAAACATATAAAGTATATTAAGTTAGACTAATTTATACCTTAAATTCGTCAAAAGGTACATTAGCCCTAGCTCTATGTAGAGACATACTGATGTAAGAACTTATCATAATATGTAACAAATATATATTTAATGTTAATATAATTAAATATAATACTAAAATTATTACAGAGCTCTAATATAAACTCAAAAAAATATTTAAATACACCCACATACTTACCAGTTCAATTTATACGGGTTTTTTTTCGAATAATGTAAAATTCTGCATCTCATTTAACTTAGATGTAAAATTTATTTTCAGATGTTTTATGCGATGTACTCTATTTTTTTTTATACAAAATGAGAACTGTAACAATATTTTTGGTACGAAAAGGGACTTTAAGATTAGTTTTTTTAACAAAGAAAACGTTCCTATCAGATAAATCTTATGTAGAGTCTACTGAGTAATAGTATTTCTTTGGTTTTTTCCACTTATACTCTTTGATTTATAACAAGTTTGTGTTTGATTCATATATTTACCTATATGGTGAGATCATCTGGGCAATTAAAAAAAACAGCATTATCCATACAAAATTATTAACCCCTGAGAGAACCTAACTATTATTCAGAAAAGACATGAAGTCCTCTAGTCGTATTTGCCCAGCGTAGTGGTGGACTACAACCTACTGCATTATGGCTTCAAGCCAAAACTGGGACGGTAAAAAAAAAAAAATATTATTTACTCTCGCTTCATCTGGTGAGTCCCTAGGTGCTTAATAGTAACCTATGTCTTAAGCTAGCATTCAAACCTATTTCTTCTTTTCCATTACATAATATACAGAAATCGTAAATAATTTAAAATATCTTATAACGCACACTTCGTTATTCTATAACATATATAGCTGCTAGTGGGGGGATATAAACAAAACAAAAGGTCACGGTGGAATAAAAACATCAATTGTATTATACTAAGCAAAAAAGAGCCTTCGTTTTTTATACGAAAAGACCATTTTCATTAATGACTTAAATATCAAATACATCAACATTTGCAATAAAAACTATAAATTGTTAAAAATAACTTTAAATTAATTTAGCGAATAAGACAAAGGATTTCGTTACCTAATTATGTTTTACAGTAGAGATAATATCTAACAAGCACTCTATTAGTCCGGAGATAACAGGATATATGTACCTACGAGTGTCTCTATATAGAAAATATTTGGCAATTCTAATTGTAATTTGAAGAAAATAATCGAGTTATTTTCAGAAAGGTATCATAAAATCGGAACTCTACAACTTGTATGTTTTATTTGCTTCGAATGAACTCACGGCAAGTCAAATAAATGTATATAACGAATATAGTATGTTCATATATTCCAAGAATTATTTAACTACCAACCAACCGGTTTCAACGAGATAATACGCTTCAACTTAACTCAACTTCACTTTACAATGCATTAAAATTTAAGTATCTATAGCAATATTTTTATTTTTTACTGTATAAGTATCAGTAATGATTAATGTAATCATCTAAATTAATGATTAAATATCTTTACTCTACCCCATTTAAAGACTATGATTTTATTAAAGTTTACAATTTTTATGGGTACTTTTTTTTATAGAAACCAATTCGACGCTCAAAAAAGTGTACTTTAGAGATAGAGATTATTATAAAAATAGAGTTAAATAGATTATATGTATTTAAGAGAGATAATATGATGTTATTTCGTGATATATTTAAATATATGTTTACAAATATTGAATATATAGGCTATAACTTCCATTGAAGTATTTTATAATGAATCGCATTGCAAAAATAATAAATAGAAATTGAACTCTAAGTATATAGAGATAAAGGTTACAAATTGCTAGACGCTAAATAAATCACAGTATTAAACCAACATAACCATGTACTAATTACAGTTATTTAAACGAATATAGACTTTAAATATGAGATTTTAACAGTCAAGCCGACTGCATTTAGATTGTATAAATGTGAGAATCCACCGAGGACAAAGTTAAATAAGCAAGGTGAAGGTAAACTATAAAAACATGTGCTGATGCATGAGAACACTTTAAATGAACATAATTTGCTTAAATTTTATTTTAGTAACAATTCAATAAAAGCCATTATGGATAAAATAACAAAAGATATATGTGTTTTTTTTGCATCCATTATGTTATATTTATACTAAAAAACCTTAGAAACGTACGTGTGTAAACAAATAAATATGTTTTATTTTATATTAATGTAGAGCATTAAATGTAATTACTATTACATGCTCTACAATTTTGCAAATTGTTTATCAATATTCGCTCGTATGTTTGGTGATTTTCTAAAAATACAGTTATTCAAAAATATTATATAAGTATTGGTACTGTCCATAGAATGTATTAACTTAAAGTTATCTATTTTACTAGAAACCAACATACTAGCGTAGATTAATATAATTATGTTAAGATAAAATATAACAACGTGTTTCCTGTTAGAAATTGTCTCGTGTTTAATTTAAAAACGTGCAAAGAAAATCACTTGCGTGACGCTATCATAATAAGAATAACCTAGCCCAACGATTATTTTATTGCAAGCACAGAATAATAAAGATAATGTATGAAAAATTCAGGTAAATTAAATAATGTTATATAAATAAGCAAAAACTAACATTAGATATGAAGACTTCCAAGTCATTATTGATGCAAACATTTCATTTACAAGGAAGGTGTGAGACATACACCTAGTCTAATCTCAACACCAAAAAAATTGAAATTGGAGATCGAATTATAAGAATTTAAGTTATTGAATAATAATGAAACATATAAGTCTATTGACGAAATATTTAATATCATTTTATGTTCAAAAGACCAGTCTGTAAAGTCACATTGGCAGGTTTTTTGGTCTGCGAAGGTCAGTTTTGAAGACGCTTACAAAATGCATTCGCAATAAAAACTTGAATGCATTCAGTGATTAATGTTTTTTAATATAATTTTAATAATAATAATAATCTGGTGTGTATCATATTTAAGATTTGAGCATATTTTGCTCATTATTTTATGTTAAATAACTTTTATAATAGATTTTAATACAACACGAATCTGCTACTGTTTATTCTTTTTGTTAAATTGTAAAGAATATTAAACATTACAGTTTCAGTTTCAAAATCCTGTGTATTTAAAGATAAGATTGAAATTGGAAGTTTTATTTATATGATCAATATTTTGCTATTTCCTATATATAATATATACTAAGCTACATCGCACTCTTAATTAAAAAAACAATCAAGGTAAGTGCGCAGAATAATTGTAAATAATCTAATTGCAATAATGTAACTCAATTAAGATTCTCGACAACATTTAACACTTGTTCGTTTAAACGTGAAAGGAATATCCATTTATTGGCAACAATTGACACTAATTGTTCTAAATCTTGAATCATTTAGAAACTGAGTCTGAAAACATGTTTTTTTACCATTTATTTATTTATCATCAATCATATTAGAAAATGAAATATACTATTGGACCTAGAATTACTACTAGTGGAATACAAAACATTTAATTTTGAATTATAGCATATGTAACTTTAAAGATCAGTATGGGAACATTATGTTAGATACGAATAAGTATTTTTTTATATTTATTTATATCATGTAGATACCTTTCCCTGTGTTATATAATTATCCATGCATCATGTTGTCACAATGTTATTGTTTATCGATGTCTTATCGCGTGCTCTAAATAGGAAACTTAAAAATAAATACGCATTAAATAAATCTAAATATAGACTATCTAGCCATTTTAAAATTCTATGAACTACTCATATAGATACGAGTATTTTAGTTATTGTTACTTAGTAATTATTTAATCTTCTCACTAATATATTAGTTTTCTCAAATGACTTAATTTTGTTGTTTTGAAATATTTCTTAAACTATGCAGGGTTATTATTACTGTGAGTTGCAATAAAAGTACATTTAACCCACTTCTTATAGATAAACGGTAAACTTCCTTAAGCAACATTTTATAACATATTTCAAATAGTTATCCGCATTTTATTAATAGAACTCATCGTATAAATCAGTTTTATACGAGTATATACATAGGTACATCTCTATCTTACAAAACAATGGTAAAGCCTTCAAGCGTTAATGATCTGTGTACTAGCATTGCCTGGCTGTAAAACTGTTTATTATACCCACGTGTCTTGGACGTGATAAATTATGGATGAGCCGCAAATATACGAGATGCATCGGCAAATGCTCATGTCAAGACACGTTTTACTCCATTATTGTAATTATAAATTGTACATACCTAAACTTTCCTTGTGGGTGATCCTCCCATTTGATGATGGAGGGGCAGTACCTTTCATCAAGCAAAAGATTCCTGAGAAACTCCGGCACGGATACGCTTCGGGGACGCTTGCATACTTTTCTGCCAGTTCCTTTCGGTCGGCCGGGAGGTCTTTTGAACATTTTCCGCTTTTCTTCTTCGTCTCCAGATTTACTACCGTCACTACCGTAAGAACACTCCGGTGAAGCGGTATCCGATAAACGGAACGCATCCTCAGCATCGTCGCTGGAGTCAGCGGCCTGTAGCAAACTAACGTCATTCGGCTTATAATCCGACGCGTATAACCTGTTTTTGTGATCTAAAGAGTCCAAATCCAACACTGTCTGCACTGGCTCGTGACTTGGATAAGTTTCACTCTCTGTATATCTGAACAATGACGAGTGTCGCAGAATTTCTTCATTTATGCGAGCGTGTAATTTGTCATAAATCACGTCTGCAATCCTTCGCGACTGGTTGCTATCGACGCTGGGATGCACCATTCTTTGAAAGATCTCGTCCCGCCTCATATGCCGAAGTTCGGCTCCGGAAACTTTGAAATTGTAAAATGGCACTTCATATTCGCTAAACCCTTGCGTCATGGCACAATCTATGATCCAATACGTGGTGTCATCTGGAGACCAGTCGATAACGGCTTTGTACTTCCAATCCTCCTGTCGAGTTTCGCGGGAACTGACGAGGTTGTGATACACATTTTCCGTAGTTTCAATCTCTGGCTCGGCGTACATATCGTAGTTGTTGTAATAATTCCCGTAAATGTAACTAGGGTTTCCTTTCTTGAAAACTTGGAAGTCTTCGAGGCGCGTGGGCGCCGGTGGAGTGGGAGGGAGAAGAAAATCGCACATGCTTTGGTCGTAGGGACGCGCGTAGTCGATCATGGCGAGCGGCACGGCCGGCAGATCGCGACGGAATGAGCGGCAATCTATGGAGCGCGGTATTCATACGTACGATATCCAACGTTGTTTGTTTACATGAACTCCCCGCGCGGCTGCGTAGCGTAGTGCCTCCTTGGTACTACGATGTTTATGTGTAGATAGTGTTTTTATCTACATGAAATGTGTGTTGATGATCCTTAAGCAACTATGTAGGAATAAAAATTATTTTGAAATCATGTTACATACAGAAATTAATGAATAACACTTTAGTAATAATGAATTAATATAAAAGGTACTTTTAAAAAATTATATATTATCTTTAGTAATATTCTGTTGAAAAATTATTTTAATTACCTATACAACTGATGAAACGTTATTCTTATTTTTTATTTTTATAAAACTGACTCTCTTCGCTCGGGTTTGCCTCTGGAAAAACAAAAACAAAGCTATCCCACGGGAATTGTACATTTTTCCAGGATACAAAGTAGCCTATGCGCTATTTCAGACTATAATCTATCTCTGTGCCTAATTTTATCCAGATTCATTCAACCGTAATTGTAAACTTTCACATTTAGTAATATTAGTAAGATTATCTTACTATGTCGTATTGTGTGATTATTAATTGATAAAGAAAGAAAAAATATTTAAAATATATTTTCTTTCGATACTAAAATACAAAAATATTGTTTTTATTAATAAAATAATGTTATATCATTCATCAATTTGTAAAAAATATCCTTCAAAGTAATAAACAATTTTTTTATAGTTAGTTTTATTACACAGTTGATCTATAAGTATATATTATATTTCTATTATCTTAGTATATATTATAATGCTTCTGTACGAGTGTTTGTTAACCTACTCCTCCTAAAGGACTGGACAGATCTAGATGAAATTTTGTGTGTATATTTCAATGGGCTCCTGGATGGTTTGAAAACACAAATGGACCCAGTAGGTGGAGCTGCAGTCGGTGTGTCACAAACTTTTCATAAAAGACTCCATTTTCCGAGTAATGAATAAATTTAAATTGTTGATTAAATAAAATAAAAATCGAAAAATGTGTGTATGCATGTTTCCTATGAACTCCGAAACAGCTGGAGCGATTTTGATGAAATTTTCAGGTAATCTTGAGATTGGCCCAGCGGATGATCCTGTGAATTTTGTTAGCGATCGGAAGTTTGGACGCGAGCGAAGCCGCGGGTATTGCTAGTATATTATTATATATATATATATTCTAGCTTTATTTTTCTTCTTTTTTAGTAAGACAAAATATTGGTTACAGATAAAAATTTTAAAATGATTTCAAAAAATGTAAAAATATAATGCACATGATGATCTCATCGTAGATATCTATCTAAACACTTATATAGATGATAGCTGTAAAGGATTCGAATAGTCAGGAACAAAAATCTAAATAAATCCGCGAAAAAATCCGAAAAGGTTGGGAACGCACGAGAAAACCACTTGACAGAATTTAATGAAATTTGAAACGATGATAGCTGGTATATTTATATATATTCTCGATCTCGGAAACGGCTTGAATGATTTTCATAAAATTTAGTACACAGGGTGTTTCGGGGGCAGTAAATCGATCTACTCGTAGATTAGTCTTATGTCTGAGAAAACGCGTGTTTTCGAGTTCTCATGCAGTTTTCTTTTGCATTATTCCACGCAAAATATGGTCGTTAATTTGCACGCTCGGGTATAAGCATCGTGTTCAAGCGGCAAAGGTGCAAGATCAACCAATACAGGTGTCCAGGTTCGAATCTCGGTCGCATACAAAGTTTTTACTTTTTTTAATATTTATTCAAGTTTTTAGTTTAAAAAAAAAGACGCATGATTGACAATCATAGTTGTCCAGGTTCGAGTCCTGGTCGGATACAAAGGTATAAGTTATTTTTTTTTTGGTGTTTATACAAGTTTTTAGTTTTTTTTAAAGAAAATTGTACTGCTTAACCAAAAACTCCGAGCAAAGCTCGGTGGCCCAGGTACTGTTAATAAATTTAAATACTGTTAGGCATATTTTGAAAATGACATGAAGTAAAATTAAATCCAATCCGATGAAAGTACCGTGGAAATCCGTATAATATATTCTTTCGATAAAATCCTAAAATTTCAAGACTTTCAGACCAAATCCGTGATAGTTTCACGTTTTAGGTGAATTTTGTGAACCCAGCTTACACCTACTAGAGCTCGAGAACCCACTCGGGTCTGGTCGAAAATCGTAGCACACCATCGTTTACTAGTCACTATACGCTACGCTTTTAAACAGCCTACCAGCAAATTGTAAGTAGAAAAAATCTTATCAAAACCTTCTTTCTTCTCACAGGAATATTTTACTAAATAAAAGTATCATATGTGCTAGTCTAGATTCTAGAACATGGCCTACCAAATCAAATATCAAACTTAACATTTACAGTACGGTAGATAACACCACAGATCATATAATACTATACTAGATAATACTACTTACTATTTAGACAGTGGTAGCCCAGTGGTAACGTGCTCGCTAAGGAAACCGATTGAAGCGGGTTGAAATCCCGGTAGTCGCACCTCTGACATTTTTATGTGCTATTCATTTCTAACGTGATTACCACTTACCTTACGGTGAAGAAAAAAAACATGAGGAAACCTGCATGTCTGAGATAATAAGTCTTCGAAAGACATGTAAAGTCCGCCAACCCGCACTGGCCAGCGTGGTGGCCTGATCCCCCTCGTATTGAATGGAGGCCCGAGCCCAGCAATAGTATGTTAAAAAGGGCTGAATAGATACATATATATGTACATATATACTACAGACACTATTTATAAATGAATCGTGAAAGTATTAACTTTCTATCATACGAATACGAAACACCAGTACATATTTACTGAGTATAGCGTGAACCCATCTATGATGGGAGCTTCTATACTAAAGTAGAAACAATAAACGAAACATACATTACCTACTAGCTATAATATAACAACTAAGTTATTTAAAACAATTATAAAGCACTTGAACTCATACAATTACAACAAAAGCAGAGCGAAGTGATAAATCGGTTTGACGTCAATCATTTTTTCCGTTTTCCCAATATGTAATAAAATAGGATAAATTAAATAAACTAAATAAGGAAACACTCGACATATACAAATATGGAATATTTAATAAAATTAAATAAAAATGTCATCGAGGTGCAATGGATAATGACAGACATACGAGTAGGTCTTATATGCGGTAGGTGGTAAGTTCGCTTCCTGCTTAAGGGCTAAGGCAAATATGCTTGCTTACTTATTATATCAGTGATTATTTTTGCCCTGGAGCATTTATAGTCTCACCTGCCTTAAAAATCTAATAGGTTTATAATCGTACGGAAGCAGAATATTAAGTTCATGATTAGACCAAAAGGTTTATTGGAGCTTTTTGTAAAGAATATCTTAGGACGAAGTATATAAAAGTTAGATCACTATCTCCAAGAATCGTGGTATTGAAGTATGAGACAGACTCAGAAGGAGGCTAAAATGCCTCATGGTTTTGAATAATATCTCAATACACAGCATGTTCATGTTGCTTGAAAAGCGGAAAATAAACATAAGTAATATTCTCTATTTATACTGCAATAATGAGATTCAACAAAGTAGTAGCAGTATCTACATTTAAAGCTTCTTTGTTCAACAATCTCTGTAATGACCAAACAGATAGAGAACTGCAGCATATTTGGAATACTGCATGTAACTTGGAATGTGCCGATATATAAATAATTATAAATACAATCTGTGTTTTTTCTGTAACATAATGTCAAATCATATTCAAAGCATTGGTTTTCTCATTGGAGTCAGTCACTCATTGGAGTACTAAACAGATTACTTAGAATCCTGCATTTCTTTTTTTGACATCCCTATTTTTGCTCCAAGAAATTAATAATCCATTCAGAAGATTTTCATCATAATCATGTTCATTAAAATAAAATTGTAACTTCAATAGGTAATTTCATAAAATATTTAAAAATAGATTTAGGAAGGATAAAATTATACTATCTTGTGTTTGAAAATAGTTATTCGCTTTTGAAAGCTTTGATTAGGAAGATTTGTTTTATAGAGTTAGATATAATGTTATTGTAAGTATTTTTTGTAAAATATTATATAAGATTTAGTTTTAAATACATGAAAATTCTTTTTAGTTCAAATTTTTCAATTAAAATACTTTAATTACTTTTTTTAGGATTTTTTCAGATTTAATTAGTAAGAAAAATAGGTACAGTGCTACTATCTATCAATGACATAATATTTTACTTAATTCTATTTCACTTCTAAGATAGAATCTACTAGCATCTTCATCATATCCAGACTATCGAGTATCCATTCATTCTAATTTCTCACAATTATACCGCGTAAAGGGGCGAGATACCAAATTAGTATAGTTACTTTTTTTTATTTATTTATTATAAACTTCCAGGACTTCCATAATACGTTTAATGTACTATTTAAATTTTTGTATTGTTAAGAAAAAACCAAAAAGCTTTTTTTGGATAAAGCGGGGGTCAGGCATGATTTTGGCTGTAGATTAAATGTAATGTGCGAGAAAATCCGCTGGCAATTATTAATAAATAATTATATAAGTAGTACCTGATGTTTCCGTAGTGTCGTGTCTAGCGATTAAGTTATTTCGCCTCATCATTACAAAACAAGGTCATATGTGACTCAAATCATTGGAAAAACAAACATTAAGCTTCCCTAAGTTGGTCCAATGCTGGATTACCAATTAGCAATATATAGTCCACATATAATATGGGCTTTGGTAATGCTAAACTCTTAGTATCTAATTCTTTGGAATCTTTTTTTTTTAAATCAATCAAAAATCAGATCACATGTTTCGAAGATATCGTGTGACATACATACAATACACATTTCAATATAGGAGTACCACCTGTACTTTTTTAAGTCTGTAACACCATAGGTTTTAATTTATTCCTAGAATTTATAACCTATTAACACTTGCGTGGAGCCCTGAGATATATATTAGAGCCGTTTACGAGACACATAAAATATTTGTTTATATAAATACAAGAATTGCTCATTTAATATTATAAGACGGGATATACGACTTGCGACTCTTGTTACCATATAGCAGTAGCCTATGTGATCCTCTTATCTATATATGTTTCAGCGTGAAAGACTAACAGACATGCAAACACATCCAAAGCTATTTATAATTATAATAATAATATAATAATAATCTTTAATTCAGGCAAAAACCCATAATTACACAGAGAAAAGCATTTAAAACTAAAACACTTACAATTTATCTATTCTAAGAGTTAGTAATACAAAATACTTAACCTATGTTAGCTTAAGAAGAGAAAAGGAAAACAAAAAAAAACAACTAGATTGCCCTACGTGCTAAGGCCACACCACAAGCATGAGACCCGTTTAGGTCCGCCTCGTGGCTATGTGAACCCTATTCCATTGCCTCCAGAGAGGGCTGTCCATCTTGACCGCCAATGTGCCAAGGAGGGTGTTTGAGCTGCTCACTAACCTGCTTATTCTGGACGCGGTACGCTTGCGTATGATCGCGTAAAAATCGTCCACACGCGCCTCCGCAAACATTGCCGACGCACTGCAGTGTCGAGGCTTTCTCAGCACCGCCCTCAGCACATTGTTGTACTGTACCCGCAGGGCACTGTAGGTCCGCTGCGTGTAGTCCGTCCATAGGTTGCACGTGTAGAAGGACTGGCAAAAGGCTTTAAACAAGATTAACTTTACTTGTGTCGTACAACGTGCAAATCTACGGGCCAACATGTTGCCCCTGACCGACAGCGCCCTGCGTTCACGTTCTATGTCAATACTATCATCCAGGCGTTCGGTTACAATATGCCCTAGGTACTTGAACTCAGCTACTTGCTTCAGGGGAGTCCCACATAGCTGAAAACATGGCTTGTAATTTAGTGGTTTGTTCTTTCCCCTGAAAGTCAAGACTTCACTCTTTTTGGAGTTGTATCTGAGTCCATTCTCCTCCGCATATTCTTCACAAATTTTTATAAGCTTTCTTAGTCCACTAACAGAGGGGCTCAGCAGAACCATGTCGTCCGCGTAACTAAAATTGTTCATAGCTACTCCGTCGATGGAGCAACCGACACCGGCTGTGCTGAGCCTCTCTATGAGCTGGTTCACATAAAGATTGAACAGCCTGGGTGATGTCAGCCCTCCCTGCCTCACTCCACACGCCAGTTTGTATGGATCACTAAGGGTGTCACCCCACCTAACCACATTAGCCTGATTACCGTACCAGTACTTGAGCAGTGAAATTAGTTCCGGTCTTAAGGTACTTTCCTTTTCAAGCTTTTGCCATAGAATTTTGTAGGACACGAGATCAAATGCTTTGGACAGATCCAAAAAACATGCATACACCTGGGTTTTTCTGTCCGTGTAGTACCTCACAGTCTGCTTGAGACACAGTATTGCGCTCTCAGTTGATAGTTCTGGCCTGAAACCGAACTGCGCATCGTGTATTTTGACTGCCTTGTTTAATTGTGTGTCAAGCAGGCTGTCCAGCACCTTAGCTATGATTGTAGCCAGGGATATCGGCCTGTAATTGGTTCTATCCGCCGCATCTCCCGTCCTATTTTTGATGATTGGCACGACTACTGTCATCATCATTGCATCTGGTAGGTAACCATCGCCAATACATAAATTGTAGAATGACATAAGTACTCCAGGTAGGTGCACCCCCGCATATCGTAGGTGTTCGACGCTAAGGCCATCATGTTCAGGTGACTTCCCACGTTTCATATTTTTTATCGCGTCTTTAACTTCATCGATATATTTGCAGGTATCAGTTTACTCCAGTTTTACGTTTGAATTGAACCGGTGACCTCCTCATAATAACAACAAATGTACATATAATTACTATGTGCAATGTGACAAAATTACTCGTTATAGTGGTTAATTGAAAAAATACTTTCCACTACGTCATGACAATGTGTCATTGGATTATTGTGTTTTAGCGTCGTCCAGACATTTTGACTCCTAGAATAATGTGCAATGATGCAATAATGTATACTATTTACAACCTCTTTACTTAATTGACACCATACAAGGATACCGTTATGTATTGCTAATTTAAAGATGGGCCGAATGTGGCATGAATCGAATAGGTAACTAACTTTAGCCGAATATTCGGTGAGAAAAAAAATCGGCCGAACTTCTGTTCAATTTCACCGCGCTTTCTCATAAGTGACACATCATAACCATTTAATA